TGGGAGGCATAGTACCAGGAAAAAGTTTAATAGAACAGTCATAAGACCGGTGGGGAGGTAAAGTATCCGCCTTACCCTTGTCAAATACAGATTTGAGGTCTAGATATTGTAATGGTATCTGAACGTCTGTGGATTGAGAAGTGTTAGCATAGGAGTTCACGGGGCAAACAGAAGTAACTCTCTGCAGACATTCCTTCCTACAACCCATACCCCAAGAAACGATTTCTCCACCCTCCCAGTCAATCTGAGGGTTGTGTCTCTTGAGCCAAGAATATCCTAGAACCACTGGGACTGCCAGGGAGGAAATTAACAGAAGGGAAATCAACTCTTCGTGGAAAATACCAACAGTAAGCTTAACGGGTTTGGTCTCATGGAATATTACTGGTTCAGATAAAGGTCTACCATCTATGGCCTCAACGGCCAAGGGTGTATCTCTCAATTGGAATGGGATACAATGCTTATTAGCGAAAGTTTGGTCTATAAAGCTTTCTGCTGCTCCAGAATCTAATAATGCCATAGTAGTAATAAACCCCTTTTCCCAAGCTAGAGAGACAGGAATCAGAAGCCTATGGTCTTTTTTATTATGCATAGAGGACAGTAATGAAACACCCAAGGCCCGTCCTCTAAGGGAACTTAGGTGCGAGCGTTTCCCGGACGATTAGGGCAGCTAAGACGTAGGTGACCTCTCAGCCCGCAGTATAAACAGAGACCCTCCCTTCTTCTGTACTGTCTCTCAGCCTCAGATAAGCGAGTATTACCTATTTGCATAGGTTCTGGTGGAGTAGGATTGTAGGAGTCAGGGTTCTGAAATGAGGGAGCGAGTCTTACAGGAAGTCTAGTAACTCTTTCCCGAGTGTTCTGCCTCTGTCTCATGCGTTCATCTATTCTGGAAATGAAGGATACTAAATCCTCTAAATTTTCCGGAAGTTCTCTTGTGGCAATTTCATCTAGAATTTCATCAGACAACCCATTCAAGAAAACATCCATAAAAGCTTGTTCGTTCCATTTCACTTCTGCTGCCAATGATCTAAACTCTAGAGCATATTCTACAAGGGTCCTATCTTGTTGTTTAAGGCGTAACAGGGATCTGGCCACATTAATCTTCCTCCCTGGGGGGTCAAAGGTTCTTCTAAAAGCCGTGACAAACGCAGTGTAGTTGTAGACTAAAGGATTGTCATTCTCCCAAAGGGGATTGGCCCATCTAAGTGCTTTATCTATTAGCAGGGTTATAATAAAGCCTACCTTAGCCCTGTCAGTGGGGTAAGCCCGGGGTTGTAGTTCGAAATGTATACTTATCTGGTTTAAAAAACCACGACAAGCATCAGGCGAACCCCCATATCGTAATGGTGACGTGACATGGGAAGATGCGCCTACAGTGGCTACTTCCAAACCAGTACTTAGCGAGTGGCTAGCAGTGGAACGTATTTCTTCAGACTGGGTACTGGAGCGTGTCAACAAAGTTTGTAACGCTAAAGCCATTTGGTCCATTCTATGGTCCATGGCCTCAAATCTGGGGTCAGGAGGACTAGCACCTGCAGGATCCATCTGGCCCTGTCGTAATGTCAGGAAACTGACAGGGATCCAATACGCAGAGTGCGCACAGAAGGAGGTACGTATACCGGACCTTAGAATGGCCGGACTAACGTAAGGACAAAGCAAGAATAGTCAAAAGGTAAGCCGAGGTCAAGGGAGCCGGAGGACAGGTAAGCGAGATACAAGCCGAGTCAAAGGAGAGGAGAGGACAACAGGACAAAAGACAAGCAAGGGTCAAAACCGGAAACACAAGATAAAGAACGCGCTGAGTGACTAGCAAGCTAGAACCACGACAGGGCAATGAGCAGTAGTAAAGGTTTCCTTTAAATACCCTGTTACCTAAATAGAGACCACGCCCCCAAAAGGTCCGGAATAGCGGTTCCCGGCACTTTATGCAAATGCCGACGTCATGACGTCGACGCTAGCCGTCGCGTCATAAAAGGGGGAGGAGCTAGCGCGGCCGGCGCGAAAACGGCCGAAATATGCCGAAATGCTAGGGGAAGGGAGCCCCTAAGCAGAGAGGATGTCCTCCCTGGATACATCACCAACAGGTACCCTGACAGAACAATAAGTTCCAAAGGCAATGGGAAGAACTAATCAGCAAATATTTTTCAGCTACACAGTGGGATAAGGTGCTGTTGTGGCAACACAAGAGCTCTATAAGTTCACAGTACCAGGAAACAAATTATAAACTAATATCGCTTTGGTATAGGACACCGACTCTTCTCCACAGGATCTTTCCTACTGTGCCCACCTGCTGGAGATGCCAGTCCAATAGAGGCACAATGTGGCATATATGGTGGGAATGTCCGGACATTGTCCTCTTCTGGAACATGGTGAGGGTACGAAAGGTGGAGGATATACAGGCAGCTCAGGACGGGTTCCAAACATGCTGAGGCCTGGCAACCGTGGTTTGTTTATGTGGCGCATGATTTATAATGCTTGAACAGGCATGAGACGTGGGGGGGCCGGAGGGGCGCCCGGACACGGGAATCCTTCTTGTTACTTTCTCTTCACCTACTCATACATTATCTCTTTCTACACTATCTTCTCTAGTAGACCTTATTCTCATGATCAGTGCAGGGAAGGACTGATCATCCCTCATAATAATAGCTCCACTAAAATGATAAAGGAAAACTCTGGTAGAAGTTACTATTGGGGAGTGCTTTGCATATCATGCTACCACACTGATGTTTATTAAAAAAGCAGTTCTGAACTATAGGTTAGCTATTGTTAACGGTTTGACACAGAAATTGAACTTATGTACAATGTATATATCTGTTTTATTGATTTGCTTATGCAATTTGCGGTCTCCGAGCCGATAAGTGTTTGTTCTTGTGACTGCAATTTTCTCATAAAAGAAATTTGAAAAATAAAAAATAAACATTATTGTATTGTATATTTATATCTAATTGTAATAATCTAAAAAAAAATTTTTAATAAATTAATAAATACAAGTTTTAATTAGATCAATTTATGTGCAAATTCCATGATTAAATTAATATTAATATTTCATTACATGGATACTTAAAATCATAACTCCACGTTCTATAAGAAATTACATATTAGATTTTTAGAAAGTTAAGCCCTATTGGATAATTCTCATTAAATGGACTTTGTGGGGAAAGCAGTTATTGGGAGTGTGCGTATTTTCATTGCAAATCTAGAAAATATTTTTTAAACGTTTGATTTAGCTGACATGATTTATCTGCCTGATTAGATGGAAGTCAAATCTCCATTAAAGAATACAGGGAAATGCAAAAATTGCTTTTCTTTGCTAAAAGTCTAGTTCAACTCCTGTTCACTATATTCATGCTTGGATTGCTCCATAATTTGAAAAAGGGGTTTTGATAGCTTGTCTAGTAGTAAGAAAATGGATACTTTAGCATTGTTCACATTTACTGCTGCCATTTCCATGTGGTCTGAATGTATACCTTTTTTAACATTTTCTTCCCTTTAGGGCTGCACCGAGCGCTTTGTGTCCAGTCCTGAGGAGATCCTGGATGTCATTGATGAAGGGAAGTCCAATCGTCATGTGGCCGTGACAAGTGAGACCCACAGATCTTGATTTATTTAATCTCCATCCACTATTATTCTTTGTATTCCAAGTCTCATTAAATTATAATTATAATTAAATTAAAATAATGTGAATTGTTGTTCTTACAGCTCAGTAAGATAGGTAGCTCTGTGGATACTACTGCATTATCTTTGTACCTGCTCAAATTTCAAGGTTACAAGTTTAATTCTTAAGTTAAATCCTCTCAACCTTTCATTTTGAGGTCAGTTACAAGTGTAATTTATTTAGGTGAAAATAACATTTAAACCTCCTGAATTACTTGAAAACAAACAAAAGTTCAATATATCCTTCATAAAATATTTGTTATAATTATTATTATGGCCAAGACGTCTAATGTGTAGTTCTTTCTAAAGAAACAGGTAAACGAGGACATGACCTTCAACCTTACATCAAAGATTATCTCCCTTGACTTCTCATTAAATAGTCGTATTTTTGCAGGAACACAATCAAGGTTTTTAAGCTTAGCTCTGTTTACTGTTTGTTTCCAAAATTATTTTTCTTCTCCCTTGGTTTGTTTTATTAATAGCTCCCTTTTTTTGTGTTCTTCATGCCATTTCCTTCACATTTTAATACGTTTACTCACTTAAGTGAGAATTAAAAGTGAATATCAAATTTAAGGTTAGAGTAGCCGAACTGAAAGCAAAACTGACTAAGAGAATTTTAAATTATGACTATTTTGACCTTAAATTTGAAATTCACTTTTATTCCACTTTTAATTTCCATTTTAGTAAATAACCCTGTAAGATACTGACTGATGGTGTTCCAAATATGTGCATCATTGGCATGCCCCATGCTTTTCCTTTCTTCCAGACATGAATGAGCACAGTTCTCGTAGCCACAGCATCTTCCTCATCAACATCAAACAGGAGAATGTGGAGACAGAGCAGAAATTGAGTGGCAAGTTGTACCTGGTGGATCTGGCTGGCAGTGAAAAGGTCAGTTCTGGAACCATTCTAAGTCTAAAATGCTTGCAGGTCATGTTTAATTTTCTGTCAAAGTTCAATATTAACCTCAAAAATAATAAGAATTTCATTTATTTGTCCTGTTAAATCACCTTCTACATACATATCAATAACCTGTGTGTTACAAGGGGATAGTGTCAGCAAAACCGAAAAAGGGTTTCATGTGGAATCCATAGATATTTCTACTTGGCGGACCGTCTAACAGATTGATCTATCTAGACAGAAAGATTAATGTGGCCTGAGCTCTCAAGGAAGAACTGCAGTGAGAAGGATGTTGAATGAGATGAGCATAGATTGAGACAGTCTGTTTAAGAATAGGTAACCTTCCAAAGGAAAGGGACAGTTTATGAGAAGGGGTCAGGGATGACTATGCTTAATTTATATTAGGCCAGTAAGGACCGAGAATTAATGAAACACTATAGCAGTGGTTCGCAACCCAGTCCTCAAGTACCCCATAACATCCCAGTATTACCTAGTTATGTCTAAGATGTTTTTAAAAAAAACAAAAAACACTTTAGGCACAACATGGCAATCCCTAAATCCTGGACTGGTAGGAGGACTGGGTTGGGATCCCCTGCACTAAAGCAGTGCATTCATTGATGCTCCTCTCTGAATTATTGGTCAAAATGTGAAATTGTAACAGTAATTGAAACGCAAGTAACAGCTGTTATATAGAAATCATTGTTTCCTTTCCATATATACCTGTAGATTTTATTACCCAAAGTCCGTCTAAACAGTTTGTTCTGCTGTATTTCTAGCCAGGGCCCGACACCAGAGAGGTCTGGGGCATTTGTTCCATTTGCCAGGTCACTATTATACCCTGTGCAAGAATTTCAAGTAAACCTCATGTTTCAGCTCATCGATATTTTATGACAACATCACAAAACCATCCATTTCTCCATTAATATTGAAATTCCACTGAATAAATAGAACGTATTTAAATTGCAACAGCGTAAACCATAGCATGGCTAGTCATGTACACTGGCCCAGTGCTTCTACCTGATTAAAATTCCAATAGATAGACTGGGGAACATAAAAAGATTAATTAGATGTCGTCTGAACAAGACCTATTGATTCCTGCAATAAACACATTTTTAGACACTGTCTGAATTAGTTTGGAATGCAACCTACTGCAATTTAGAAAGGTTATTGACACATATAATTAACAAAACAGTACTATTGATTGCTACATTCTTCATGAGTTTAGGTTTAATTGTTGACTTGCACTGCAGTGGAGAGATACATGTTTGTCTATGTTGGTGACAGTGATCATTAATGGGGCACTATAGGCACCAAAACAACTTTAGCTTAATGAAGCAATTTTGGTGTACATATCATGCCACTGCAGTCCCACTGCTCAATTCTCTGACATTTAGGAGTTAAATCACTCTGTTTATGCAACACTAGCCACACCTCAATGCATGTGATTTACTCAGTCTTTCTTAACACTCCCTGTAAAGAGAGATCTAATGTTTAGCCTTCTAGAACCTGCAAGAGCTTCCTGTGTGTGATTAAAGTTTAATTTACAGAGCAGGAGGGAGATGAAACTTCTACAGCAAGTTAACATTTGCTTGAAAATGAAACAATTTGTTTCCATGCAGGCTGTGTGAGTCACAGCTAGGGAAGATGTGGCTAGGGCAACATCATTAGAAACAAAAGTGATCTAACTACTAAATGGCAAAGGATTGTGCCTTGAAACTGCAGGGGTATGATCTATACACCAAAACTGCTTCATTAAGCTGTAGTGGTCCTGGTGACTACAGTGTCCCTATAAGCTTTATGGTGCAATAATGCTGACTGCAGAAACATAGCTCTTCCCCTGAACCAATATAATTACTTTGAGGACCAAGCTTGTGCAGTTCCACCTATTGTGGAAATAAATTGGTCCTTCGCAGCAGTGAGGATATTGTATAGTTGAAATGCATTGCTTATCATGCTTTGAGCACTATATTTCTTTTTGGGAGTTACAGACATAACCTTGCAGTACACCTAGCTCATAGCGGCCACATCTAGGTGTAAAATGTTAAAAAAAATATGATCAGTTAATTTTAATGTTTTTATTTTCCTAAATAACAAATTATACCATTTGAAGACTGAAATAAATATTACTCTTTTTGATTACTGATTACTTGTCTTTCTAGCTTATGGCTGCAGTAAAAGTGCATTAGATTGGAGTTTTCAAACATCATCATTTAGAGAGAAATGAAAACAAAATCTTGCCCTGCATATTGACTCAGATGCCCCCACGCACAAACACTAGGCTTCAGATTGATAAAGTAATGTGTTTGCTTCCTAGAAGCTGTGGATAAATTAGGGATTAATCTCTCAAACTGCTGATCTTTCAGGAAGCCAAACACTCAGACAGACCAACTGCTCTTTCAAATCTGTTTATTTATTTTCACATGTAAACTACACAGATATCCATGTGGATTGTGTTGTAGACTGATATTCTGAAAGATGTATCTTTTGTTCTGTGTTAGTAAAGAAGTTAATTTAATAATAAATTGGATTTAGTGCTTACACTGTTCAGCCACAACATTAAAATGGTGTAGGTCATGCTTGTGCTGCCAAAACAGCTCTGATGCGTCAAGGCATGGACTCCACTAGACCTCTGAACGTGTTCTGTGGTTTCTGGCTACAAGGCATTAGCAGCAGATCCTTTAAGTCCTGTAAGTTGCGCAATGGAGCTCCATGAATCAGATTGTTGTTCCAGCACATCCCACAGGCGGTCCATCGGATTGAGATCTGGGGAATTTGGTGGCCAAGGAAACACCTTGAACATCATGTTCCTCAAACCATTCCTGAACAAATTTTGCAGTGTGGTGCATTATCCTGCTTAAAGAAGCCACTGACATCAGGAAACACCTTTGCCCTGAAGGGATTACATAGTCTGAAACAATCTTGAGGTAGGTGGTACGTGTCAAAGTACCATCCACATGAATGTCAAGGTTCCCAGCAGAACATTACCCATTGCATAACACTGCCTTTGCTGGCCGGCCTTCTTCACATAGTGCATCCTGCTAGCATCACTTCTCCAGGTAAACAACACACATGCACCAGCCATGTGCCTGATCTAAAAGAAAACGTGATTCATCAGAGCAGGCAACTCTGACCATTAGTCCATGGCCCAGTACTGATGCTCATGTCCTTACTGAAGGTGATTTTGGATAGGGGTCATCATGGGTATCCTGACCAGTCTGCAACTTTGCAGCCCCAAACTGCGACGCGCTGTGTGTTCTGACACCTTTCTATCATGGCCAGCATGACATTTTTCAGCAGTTTGAGCTACAGTAGCTCTACTGTGATTGGACCACACCTGATACCCTTCGCTCCCCATGTGCATCATTGAGCCTTGGCGTCCATGACCCTGACACCGGTTCACCAGTTGTCCTTCCTTGCATCATTTTAAGTAGGTACTAACCACTGCATACTGGGAACACCCCACAAGACTTGCCATTTTGGAGATGCTTTGACCCAGTCATGTAGCCATTACTATTTGGGCCCTGTGAAAGTCACTCAGATCTTGCCCATTTTCTCTGCTTCCAACACATGAACTTCAAGAACTGACTGTTCAATTGCTGCCTAATATAGCCCATCCCTTGACAGGTGTCTTTATAATGATATAATCAATGTTATTCACTTCACCTGTGAGTGGTTTCAATGTTGTGGCTGATTAGTGTATGTTGGTATTAATATCACATTTAAAACCATGCTCTACGAAATACTGCACCTGGTGCAGTAAGGTCTTCTGTCATTGTGTTCCTGCACACTTGTAACTGCAGTGATTTGCAAACATCGGCTTAGATATTAGTTCACACTCAGGGACATATATCACAAGAGGATGCTTATGTGCCTCCCTGCACATCCAAGCACTTATGTGATTGGCCCTTTGGTTAATCCCTACTCAGGTCTCAAAGTTTTTTTTCACCTGTGCCATTACAAAGAGAACCTCTACCATTTGCATATCAGAATGATTCCATCCATTAAGGCAGTCCAGATCCAAAATGCCTGCATGAGGGATACAGCAACCCCAGATAATCGTTTTGGCTTTCCTCTAGGTACTATGAGCATTAGGTCCATGTCTGGCTTACACTTGTAGATTAGGGAGACCCCAAGTTAATGCATTAAAGCAAAATAAAAGAACATTAGAACACTGAGAATGGGTAAAACCTCAGTAGTTTGCCCTTTGGTTAGTTACCACTTAAAAAGTGCTCACTTCTGCCAAGATTTGGCAACAAATGCATAAACTGCAGAAGAAATTATATTTTCATTATTTTGTTTGCGTGTTTTTAATTAATTCTCTGTAATATTGCAGCCTAAAGTCTTCCTTTAAATTCGATCTTGCCTTTCATGAGGTTTACTTATCTCTCTAATGTCACATTAAAATGCTGATTTCTGATGAAAGTCTGTGCATATTGCTTTGCAATACCGATATTGTATACAGCAAACAATAACAGTGTGAACTCATCTTGACAGTCTGCTGAACGTATCAAAGCGGTGTCTTTTTTTATCATCTAGTCAGGCCTTCCATCACGGGGTACAGCTGATACAGCTGTACGGTCACTGTATTATTTATATAGCACAAGAAAATTCCGTAGCGCTGTACAAGGGTTGACACACTGGATCCACTATCGACACAAGCATACTGCATCCACTACACACACTGTCATGATCTTGCTCAGGTCAGATAGGAAGCTTTGGCCAGAGTTGACTAAAGAGGCTTTATTGGTAGGTTTTGACATATCAGCGGGTTAACTTATAGAATGAAATAGGGAGAAGGGGAGTGAGAGAAATAAACATTAAGGCAATATGCCCTATAAAGATAATAAAAACGGGTGTGCAAATAATAAGAAAGCTAGAGATAACAGTATACGAAGAATAATAAGACAGGTATAAAGAACAATAAAAAGGTTTCAGGATAGGAAAATAACACCTTGTAAATAAGAGTAAGCAGTAATGTCCAGATAGGGGTT